TCGAAAAAACATCGATCTTCTGCTCGCAAAAGGACCGCTTTTGTACCTGACTAATCAGATTGCAGCATTCGGTTGTATCAACGAATTGCTGAGTAGTACGTTGTGAGCAAGCACAAGACATGTACCTAGAGGTTTTCGAGGATGCTGAGCTTGAATCTGTGGTCTATTTGCCTCGAAATCTGATTGGTTGGTCGATTACCAATTGGAATCCAGCTGCAAAGAAAATAGAGAAAAACATCTACACTTCCGGGAAAGCAATGAGATAGGGTTTTTAGAGGGAGTGAGCTCGAATCTGGGTCCATTCGCCTCGAAATCTTATTGGTTGGCCTGAAACCAATAGGAATTCATCTGCTAAGAAACTAGCTAATCAAAATTACGCTTTCGCAAAAAAGGGTCAAGCGGGGGGTTTTTAGAGGCGGTGGGTGCGAATTTGGAGTCTATTTGCCTCGAAATCTGATTGGTTGGTCGGGAAACAATAGGAATTCAGTTACCAAGAAACCAGCTAATCAAACTTGCAGCGTACGACTCTGACCGACCTCTACTATTGGGATAAGATGCTAATTTAGTACTCAACTAATAAAATAGGACTCGCCTATTTGTGAAATAAAAACAAATTGGTAAATATGTTAACTTTCTCTTTTTTTTTTTTCATATTTTTTTCTGTTCATCAAAAAAAAATTCAATTTTGACTGAGACTATAGTGGGCAAAAATAAAATTTCAATTTTGACTAGCCAAATTTTAAATTTGACTGAATTTTAATTTTGACCAAAACATATGTGAGTGAATTGTAGCTTTTTGGTACGACTGAGATTTTAGCTGTATTTAGCCAATAACTTTTGTTCTGCTCAACCAATTTAGACGATTTTTTTTACATATTGTTACCCTCTAACTGTCCCACACCCACACCAATTTTCAGCTCTCTAGCTCTTACTGACGCTGAGCTATAAAGAATATACTACAAAAAAAAATGTTATTTTTTGATAACATGTGCAAAGAAAAAGAAATTTTTTGACTATAATAAAACACGAGAAAAAGATTATAAATAGGCCAGTTTGTACAACGGTCGACGCTCTTTCATAATATATAACTTATCTAAATTTTATTCTTTCCTTTTCTTTTCGTCTAACGTCCACATTGTTTTACAGACATTTGTATATTTTTGTGTAGAGTTATTCAAACTTAAATCTAGCTCTTTCACAGAAAGAGCTAGCGACTCGCAGACTATATGGGAAGAGAGAAAACTGTTGTAGCAATAAACTAGCGAGAAAAAGTTCTCTCTTATCAGCTTTGTTTCAGAGAAAGAATAACAGAACTTTCGAAAAATCACTCATATACTCACTTTGTAGAGTCAGATTTATACAATTGTCTACTTTATAACTTTTCAATAGGTTATTCGATCTCGCTCAAATTTTTACAGTAGATGTAAAACAAAAAGTTCTACGAGTGATAAAAATTTCAGTTCTCAATCATGTCCCGTTTAGGAGAAATTTACATTATACTGAAAAATGTAGAGTTAGGTTTTGTCCACAGATATTTCCAGTTGAATCGATCCGAAAACATTTTTTTCAGTTATAATTTAACTCAGTAAAATTCAATTAGCAAATTTGAGTGCATTGTGAACTGTTCTGACTACTAATTTTCCATGCAAAGCTAAAAAATGATTCACGCCTTTTTAACGAATAAAGTCATGAAAATTTTTCAATAAAATAAACGAATTTTTCTTCTATTATTTTTTAGTTATTTGAAATCAACAATAGAAAATGTATTCAACATTTGAATCTCTTTCTGCAGAATTATTATTTGAATTATTTGATTCTTTATCTCCATATGATTTATTTCGAATTTTCATCAATCTGAATAGTCATTTAAAAGTAATCGTTCATTCATATCCACTTCGATTGGATTTTCGAAGCATCAATCGATCAAAATTTGATTTTATTTGTCGTCATATTCAGCCAAAACAAGTTATTTCATTAATTCTTTGTGATGAATATGTTCCTGAACAAGTAAAACTTTTTCTTGATCATTTTCCACATTTTAAAGAAGAATTTCTTTATCTTCAATCTGTAACATTAATCGAAGGTGGAATTAATACTTTCATCAATTTACCTTTATCTGTTTCATCATTATCAATTAGACGTTTTGATACTGATAATCATTCAAAAACTTACATTAATGAAATATTATCTCAACAAACAAAAGTTTTAACTTATTTAAAAATTGATAATAAAGATTTACAATATCTTATTGATATACATTTTCCAGCTCTTACTCATTTGATTATTCTTGGAGGATATCCTTATGTCCGTAAATATATTGATGCGTCTTCACCATTAGAAAATATTGATATTCATTCATTAATTCAACAATGGCAATGTTTTCTCATTCATCTTTATCTTGTTATCGATAATGAAATTCGATATTCGACATTTAATCTTGATCGATTTTCTCATTGTCTTACTCATCTTACATTACACTTTCATCAAGGTAATTAAAAATAAAACTAATGAAAAGTTGATTTTCATTTTTGATTTGATATTTTAGATATCCAAGTATCATTTGTATGTCTTGAACAATGTTTAATTAAATTGTCTCAACTGATAGATTTTACTTGTCAAGCAAATGGTTCATGGGATTTAATTGATGGCAAACAATGGGAAAAATTTATTTTAAAAACACAAATTATTCGATTTAATTTTAAATTCGAGTGCGATCTTATTGAAGAAATTTCATCTATACTCGAATCATTTCGTTCATCATTTTGGCTTAAAGAACGACATTGGTATGTTGGATGTTATCAAGATGAATCAAAGACAAGTACAATTATCTATTCAATACCACGATTTCGAATACGTACACTTAAATATCCTTCAACTGTATATCCACATATGACAACAGCACCGTCAAATATTGAACAAAAGTTTTTTTATTCAAGTAAAATCGATTTTTTCTTTTGTGATATGAATAAATTAATTGCACCAGTCAATTATCGTTTCAATCAAGTTAAATCATTGACACTTTCAGGTTCATCATTATTATCATTGAATATTCTTTCATCAATTGTCAATCTTCAACAAATTCAACATCTTGATGTAGCTGATATTCATCTCTTATTACCTGATGAGCTTGAAAATCTTATTGCTCATACACCTCGTGTTACAAGTTTATTAATGAAATTCGATCCGTTATTTATTATACCTTCACAAATTAATTATCTCCTATTACAAGGTCCTGGTCAATCGATTTCTCTTGATAGACTTTATTATACAATATCATCTGTTAAAAGATTGGAGATATCTATGGCATCAAAACAAATGATTATTGATGTTATTGATCGATTCCTTGGTTTGGAGAATCTTGATATATACTTTGATGATGATGATCTTGATGATAATGATCTTGATGATAATGATCTTGATGATCTTGATGTTGATTCTATGACTATTTATAAAGGTATCTCAAATGATTGGTTAATCCAAAATACGCATCGTCTCAAGTCACATGATTTTACCTGTCGATATTTGAGTGAATTCAGTCCAGCGATGTACTTATCATTTGGCGATCCACGAAAACAAAATGGCGATCAAGATTAAGAACATCATTTTTCTTTTTTTTTTTTGTTGTTTATGAAAGATTAAAGAAGAAAATAAATTTTCATCTAAAATACTGAAATTTAATGCATACATGCTCGAAACTAGATCGCCTCAATAAAAAAAACGATTATTTATCTGAAACTTTCGATCTTTCTCATAGAAAGAACTACTGGGTGTAAAGGAAGTGACACTTTTTCTATGGGCTATACTCCACCCAACTAGATTCTTGTTCTTTTAATTATTTTTTTTATTGGGACTACTGTGGGGATATAAGATCACGAAATTGTTTCATTAACTTTTTTAATATTAGCAAAAAAAACCTATATTTTAGGAAAGAGTCAATTTCCATAGAAAATATCAAAAAGTCCGTTAGTATTTCGAGATTTTATCTGTCAAAAATTGTTTTTTATCAAAGATAAGTATTATATTCGAAATAAGCATCCAGAAATACACTGAAAACTTTACTTTTCCTCATAAAAGAGTGTGTGTGGGTGTGGATGTGGGGGTGTGAGTGTTGGTGTGAGTGTTGGGGTGTTAGTGTGGGTGTGGGGTGTGTGTGGGTGCGAATCAATGACAGGAGTACCACACTCCTCCACACGCCACCAACACCCACATTCACATCGACACTCACTCATACGCACATTCGTGCCCTCAGCTACACCCACACCCACACCTCTTTTTGCTATTTACTCGACAAAAAGAGTATGTTATAGAAAAGAATTACGACTACAAAGATACGGTTATCGAGTAGAGATAAAAGAACGGGTTCGTTAAGGACACAAACCAGCCTCTTAAAGAAAGAGTTTCTTTGGATAGTCGATTTGTGCTCTTAACGACCCTGTCCTTTACATGGTTGTTTTTTCTGCGTGTGGACATGGGTTGATGGGTGCGTGTGGGTATGGATATGCGTGTGCGGCACGGATGGGTGTGCGCGTAGGTGTGGGTGTGTATGACTCTCGTTTTAGCAATACCTACACTCACGCCCATGCTTCCCACACACCCACACCCATCCACATCCACACAGAAAAAAACAACAATATAAAGGGCGGGGTCGTTAAGGGCAGAAATCGACTATTTAAGGAAGCTCTTTCTTTGAGAGGCTGATTTGTGTCTTTAACGGTCCCGTTCTTTTGTCTCTATTCGATAACCATATCTTTGTAGTCGTAATTCTTTTCTATAACATACGCTCGTTGTCGAGCAAATAGCAAAAATGAGCATAACTGGGGTTTGTAACTGCTTTCTTTTCTGAGTACAATTATGGAAATTCTTATGGTATTTCTCTCATCGCGTGCTTATACCCAGTTAACTTTTTGCAGTCAATATACTTTTATTATTTGTTCTTGTATCGTTATTCTTAGATTTGATCATAAACAAAGATTCATATAAAACAATTGTTTATTGAGTCAATGAGTACGAAATCAGATCAAACAACTAATGATCCTTCAAAAACACTGAATGATACTGTTTTACATAAAGATGATTTGACTGAACAAGCCAAAAATCAATTCAGCTATCACAATGATATATTTCGTACACTGGAATCATACCGTCAAAGCATACTTCGTAATGTGTATATAACCGATGTTGGTCGAAATTTTTCTTTATCCGAACTTCACACTTTATACACGGATTGTAAACGTGTTCTAAACTATGCAGCCGAACACAATGAAGTTTTCAATCAAAATTTGTCTCATGTTGGCCCATTGTTAATTTGTGGTCTTGCACGTACAGGTACAACATTACTCTACAATTTGCTTGCCTGTGATCCGAATTGTCGTGCACCATTGTACACTGATATGGCTATTGAAATTGTCCCACCGATCGCTCGATCCGATTGGATCGGACAAAAACGACGAATGGATATTTTAAATTCGTCTCATCCGAATAATGAACAGTTATCCGATTTGCTCACTCGAATAGCTGCATGTCATGCACATTTCGAAATTGAAGAAGATTGTGTTATTCTACGTCAAGCTGGCTATTTTCCTATGTTTGTTCTTTTATCTGATGATGAAGATTCCACTCCTGAGAGTTGGATTCGTAATGAAATGAAAAAAGATTATGCATATGATTATCATGAAGTATTTTTACGTATGTTGAATACTGTTGATATGCCAAAATCTCATTGGCTATTAAAAACGCCGTTCCATGTTTTTTCTTTGAATAAATTTTTGCAACATTATCTGAATGCATTATTAATTATGACTCATCGACGTCTTGACGAAGTTCTTCCTTCATTATGTAGTTTAGAACTGGTAGCTGCAGATGGGTATTTTGACAAAACGAACTCGATCAGTCGAGATAGAATAATAAAACGATGTTGTCAATTCTTCGATACAGAAGTCGAATGTATAATGAAATTTCGAACATCAGAAAATGGTGTACTTGATCAATGTCGTCCATCAAATCTATGATTATTTCAATCTTCATTGGTCGAATGAAATTGAAACGGCCATGCACAAATGGCTTCTCGAAAATCCTCAAGAAAAACAAGGTCGTCATACGTACTCTCTTCCTGAGTTTGACCTTACTCAGGAAGATATCGAAAAACGTCATGCTGATTATATCAATTTGTTTCTGTCGTCAAATAATCAATCATCAGAGACAAATTCAATTTCATCATAATTGAAACAATATCTCGTATTGAAAGTGAGGATGTGGAGTGGATGTTGGTGAGGACTAAGATGTTAACTCCAACCCACAGCCACACCGATGCCTTCACCCACTCGCACACTCACTTTCAGGATGGTTCCTTTTTTCTTGAAACATGATTATCAATGAGTGTTGAAGTAAAGTTTGAAGTCTCTCATTGTGTTCTTGTAGATGAACGGATAAGGTTGAAGGATTCGAACTTTTCCAAATAAGGTATAACTATTTAATTAGTTCCTTAAAAATCGCTATGGATTCGGCACGCCTATAGGTTTTATTATGTTCTATTCGAAAGAAAATCAATTCATCACAAGTAAGTGTCCTCATCAAACGGTGAAGTCCGGTACACTTTGCCGACAGGTACTTTTTTCCGACAAATCAATTTGCTGACAAATAATACATTTTGCCGACAACTCATTTTGCCCACGAATATTTGAAATTAGAAAAACTTGTAATTTTTTGAAGATATTGCGTCAGAAGATTTTCAAAGTCATGATTTCTTTCCGAAGTTTCTTGGTGAGTTGCATTGAAAATTTAACTAGCATGAGGCAAGGTAGCGCTTGAGGATATTCCGAATTTTTTTAATTTAAGAATTTTTATTAAACTCTTCTGTTACTCGTGAGACAATCTGTAATTTAATCATGGCTTCAAGCGAGTGTGTGCGTTGATTTTTTCTTTGTATCATCAGCCCATGCACACATCATTTATACCAGCACCCGCGGGATGTGGGTGTGGGTGTGGGTGTAGCTAGAAAATAGAATATCCACACCGACACCAACTCTTCCACACCCATACCCACACTTCACACTAGTACCTATCATTTGAAAAAATAATCAGTTGATTAAGATTGACAAATAATGAAGATATTCAAATTTACTTTTCTCAGAGACTTTTGGAACACTCTGTATATTTATTTCATAATGGGTTTTAAATAGTTTTCATCATTTTCGAATCATTGAAGTTTGTAAGTAGTGAATTTTACATTGGCAATTGTTATTGATGTCAAGTGGGTGGCCCATAGAGAGAAAGACACTTCTCTCTTTTCGTTGATATTTAACGTTTTCATCGTTTTGAACTTAAATTTTTAAATCGTAATGGAAAATCTATATAAATTTATTTGTATTATTTGACAAATGTTGTCTCTTTTATTTTTAAAACTAAACTTAACTTTAGCAAACTAGTGAGTGCAACTTTCAATTTCTAGAAACTAAGCTGTTCTCATGAGAAACTTCTTGAAAATATTTATACATATGTCATGTTTACAGAAGCATATGCAAGGGGTAAAAACCGAGACTTCAGTTCTATGAAGCACTAGTAAAGTATCATGCTTCGGACTAGTCAGGTCTTGCTTTTTTCCATTTGCATAGAGCATATGTTGCTAATTATAGCAGAGTTTTTCTATGTTCATGTTCGCTCTTTAATATCTTAGTTCAATAGTGAGTAAATGAGCTTAAATTTTATAACAAACTAGACACATTTAGAGCATCCCACTACAAATACAGAAGAAGTTCAAAAATCGTTTCATATCCATTTATGTACTTCAAAATTGAGTCGAATATCCACTAGAGAACTTATTCCTCATATTTTTTTCTACATTTCTACAAAGCTTCAGCTGGATAGGTTGCTCCATTGATCAGATATAATCAAAACAATCTCTATCAGTCCCATCAAGAAACGTTCTAAGTAGGTACATGGTCCTAAGTTAGAGCGGGCCTATACAAAATACATGTAAATCGTCTTATCTAACGTAATTTCATTTCTGTTTACTATCCAATCTCAAAATCAATTCTTAGTTCTACTAGAACAAAAGTTGTTCAAGTCAATTTTCTCTATAATATATTAGCATAATTCAGTCAAATTTGACAAGGTTCTTGGAAGTAATTTAGTTCGGTTTTAAAATCGAATAGTCAGTTAAACAAGTTCAGTAAGTTGTTACTAGCTATAAATTAATATAAATAGAAAATTTTGGATTCATTTAGAACTTATGATTCATAATAACATTTTTAAAAAAAAGTTATTGAGGCACATATTCGTTAGAATTGAGGATCAGCTGTAAATGATAATGGAGACAGAGCCATTGCTAATGCTGAGATGGTGTCTACTACTAAGTTATAGCATTTTAACAGGAAGCTCAAATTTAGAGTATATCTTGGGGGGGGGGGGGGGGGTTATGGGTGTGAGCATTAGTTTTCTCTTCACGTCGATACCCACACACATCCACATTAATTCTGGGAGCCGATAAATCGGGAAAAAATACTCAAAGTCAGCTTCTGAAATCAAGAGATTTTTTATCGAGAGAAAAGTGAAAAAATCACGAGTATCTTGGATAAATTAGGAGGGTTGATAAGGCTGTTTATACATAAAGATCGGTGGCCTTCTAACTCATCAGACTCTAGTCTATTAGATTATTCATTGTTAAATAGTGTCAATAAAAGCATTGATTATTAGAAGATCAATACAAGAGAAGAGTTGAAGTAAGAAAAATAAATACAATAGGCCTAAAAATTGACTCGAATTATATTTGCAATATGATTCGATCTTTTCTCCTAAGAGTTTTTGCAGTTGAAACAACATAATGGCGATCATATTTTGTGATGAATATTTATGGTTTTTATTTTAGTTCATTTCAATCTTTTTCGCCAAGACAATCATAATATTCCTAGATCAAGGCGAATGCGTGCGAACACTGGGAGAGAGTTTGGAAAAAAGCCATGAACGTGCTGTATATCAGCAGACGAATATGTTCTGTCGAGCTAATTATTCGGAACGCGTTCGTTCGTTTGACGAACATGTTTTGAATACAGCTTCGAACGAACGACTTCCGAGTAAGTAGCTCGACGGAACATGGCTTTTTCCAAATTCTTTTCAATTGTTCGCACGCGTTCGTCCGCTCCAAACGCATTCTTACTTCGTCCATCTCGACCGTGTCTATCAAAAGGTCAGTTTAAAATAAGATGAAGGCTATATTCTTTAATGTTATTTTCATTTTTAATTTTATCAGAAGAATGGGACATTTCACCATGACAAAGTGCTTCACTTTTAGCCTTACAAAAAAAAAACATCAAACTAACTAAATAAGATTTCTCATCAGCATTCTTGTATAAAATTTTGACAGCCCTTTTTTAAGAAAAAAAATCAATATTATACGATTTATTTGTTGAACTTTTATTTTCAAAACTGATATTTTGATCTTTGTTTTATTAATATCAATTGCTTTAATTGTTAGGCACTATAAAAGTTAGAATAAGATAAAGTGAAATGATTTGCAAGACAAGATCAAGACGTATTTAATGTATCAATAAAATTATGAGTAGATATTATGCAAATATCATCATAAGAATTAAAAGATATTGAACTCAAAACTTTTATTTTTGCTTTAATCTGGTAAAAACACGAGCATAAGAAATAGGAATACAATGCTTCGATAGTCAATTTTATTTATTTATTAATTCTATCCTATTCATTTGAATGTAGATCTATAGAGAAAACTCTGAATAACAGTTAGTATCTCATTATCGACAGTCTATTTTTGATTCTTCAAGACTGATAAAATGCTCTTGTTCAGAATCGAAATTTGAAAACCTAATTTTTCAGTTTGCAGTGTATAACATCGTACCTTCCCCTATGTTTTCTCCCTTGGGGTTGAGCAGGGTAAAAGCAATTTTTTTGATCCTGTCCTAGTTTACGTCAGAACAGAATAGAGTTACTCTGTTTTATTGACATCTCTATGATATAGATTCAGATTAATAAAAATTAGTTATAGATTAATATAAGGATTGATTTTCACAAAAAGAAGACTTGGTAAAAAAAACTGCATTAACTGGAAAACAAATTTTCATCCTAGTTTATTAAAATAGAAGAGTCATATTATCTAATAGATTTCACCAACGTCTATAATTTCAACTTAACACAATGTGACGTAAACAATGTTACTCTCTCGAGTCAGCCAAATTGGATGAAATCTTGATTATTTGAAAGAAATATGCAAAAGTCGAATATAAAATGTTATCTAAATTATCGTGTGCAACATTTTCTTCATTTCTTACATATTGATCCTGTGAAATCATATAGAATTCTGTAGATTTTATTATTTTTTGCTCAAATATTAGTCTTTACTCGTGTTTTTTCACACACAAATAAAAAAGAATATTATGCTTAAAAAAGAAATTATCGATTTAGGTACAAATCAGTTTTAGTAATTATTTATTGCAGAAAGGGTGTAGGTGTGGGTGTGGGTGTGGGTGTGGGTTTTCATTTGCTCTGCAATTACACACACACCCACCCACACCCACACCCATACCCACATACCCACACCCACACCCACACCCACACCCACCCACACCCTTGCAACTATTTCTCCCAGAGTAAATTTTTATCCAGAACATCTCACTTGTATGGTACAAATAGATTGGAACGAGAATAGTTTACCGTATTCTATGCAACATTTTGGCTATTATTTGATAGTAAAAAAATTAGTTGAAACAAGTGAAGAATGGAATTTCATGCATCCATCATCCATCTCGAATGATGAAATACAAAAACTCTTTCAAAGCAAAAAATATAATGAAAAATTATTAGCTAAACTCTATTGGGACTATCGAGATTCGTACAATCCTACGGCTCGACTATCTGCACAAATGGAAAAAGAGATTCGTTGCACAAGCTCGACAAAATCATATGAACCGATCTGGGAATGTTGTTATTCACATTCAACAAACAACAGTCCTCTTCACCTTGTAGATCATTTATATAGTAGTGGAGATGTAAATTTGAAAGATAGTGAAGATCTCCGATCTTTTCCTTTATCTCGATGACTTAAAGATGAATATCAATTTAAAAATATTTGGATTGGTTTGTTTAAATTCGCCGAACAGCTCAAGACGGTCGAAAATGATCATAAAAAAGATGATATTGAACGATTTGAAATGTTACTAGATTTTCTACATTACATTTCCGATAAATGTTCGAGTCAACCATTTTATTTGCAAATTCTTAAATCCATATTAAAAGCACCAATTGTAACAATGAGATCCGCCCCATATCCTTCATTTACTCGATACGGACATATTCAGGAAATTACATTTCAATCTCATCGTATAAATCTAGGAAATCTCGGTCGTTATAAACGGAGTATAGCTTTACAGGAAATTCAAGAATGGTATGAGATCAACATGTTACTAAAATCTTGGAGAGAGAATGAAAAACTTTGTTCGTTTTTAGAAAATATCCAAAATCATTTTCGTTCTGTCATACTAGTTCCATTAAATGTCAACGTGCTTGTCAATCCTCAACATTTCGCATGCGAATTATGTGAAAATCACTTTCAAATCAGGCTTAATTCAAAAGATAATTGCATTGATCAAAAATTGTTGGAGTATGCAAAACAAAAATTTCTACATCCTCATTCCAATTATTTTATTAAACTAAAAATGTGTATTCCAATTATAAATGAGTAAAACGAATTTCCACAAGAAATTTTTCCTTCTACTGACTCTCAAGTCAATCCTCTCAGTGATATTACCAATTATTTTAAGGAACACTTAACTGAAAGTTGGAAGAAATTTAATTTGACTGAAGAATATCGAAAAGAATTTCCATCAGTGGAGGAAATCAATCAATTTCTTGATTCTTTTCGTCAAGAATCCATACAAATGTGGCATGAATTAGTAAAGTCCATCACAATAACAAATGAACTGTTATTCAAAATTGGTTTAATGTTACGAATCTTACCGACAACTTTAATATCTGTTTTTCAACAAATATGGTTAAATGATAATGAATCGAATGTATTATCTTTGCACTTGACACTTGAACAACGTACACTACTTGGTGGAATCATGGTTAATTGGATTGTAGAGCAACAAATCGAAAGAGCTTTAAATTTTGCCAATCAAGAAAAGTGGGAAGATTTTGAAAAAGAAATATTAAATGTACTTCATACCAATTGGACACCATCAGAACATGTTCCATGGTTAATATTAGAACTTGAAATGAATATTACAATTCGAGAAACACAAGTTCAAGTAGCAAGTCATATGATAAAACCAATGTTGAATGAAAACAATGCTTCAGTACGAAATATTGTTATGCAAATGAATATGGGCGAAGGCAAAACTTCAGTTATTTTACCAATGTTAGCACTAAGCTTATGTCCATCATCTTCGAGTTTAGTTCGTATCATTGTATTGAAAGCATTATTTCCAATGAATTATCAATCATTACGATATAAATTAGGCGGTCTATTAAATCGACGTGTAATGCCATTTGCTTGTCGTCGTGATATGAATTTTAGTCATGTACAAGTGAATAAAATTTTCAATCGTCTCAAACAAGGATTACATAATCTGGATGTCGTACTAACATCACCCGAAGATATTCTATCTTTTGATTTACTTACAATAGACAAATGTCGACGACAAGAATTTGATACTGGTCGTTCAATGTTGTCGATTCAAAGTTGGATGAAAACATTTGTTCGTGACGTTTTAGATGAATCTGATGAAATTTTACATGTTAAATATCAATTAATCTATTCGATCGGTCGTCAACAACAAGTCGATGGAGGTGTAGAACATTGGAAGACCATTCAATATGTACTGAATTTAGTCAAACAACATGCTGCAAATATTGCACAGTAATATAATGATGATGTTTATCATAAAGCAGCAGAACGTCAAAGTAATTTTCCAGAATTCCGTCTGCTTAATCATCGATCATTTCTAGAATTATGCCGAAGAATAGCAAGTAATTGGATAAATCAAAAAAGTTATCGTCAACTAGATCAGCAACTTATCTTATCATTTATATTGGATACAAATTCATCGATCAACGGTCAAATCGATCAATTTCCTCATAATACAATTCAGTCATTTTTGATTATGCGTGGTTTTTTATTTGTTTAATGGCTGTACCATTTCGTGCAAAAGATGTTGCAGCTGAAAATACAGAATTCGGACATCCAGATGTAGCTATTGTCTTAACACAAATTTCCTATTACTATAAAGGCTTGACAGATTCACAAATGCTTCAATGTTTTAATCGTTTGAGTCAAGATGAAAGCGATCCGGAAATAATCTATGACCAATGGATTTCATTGGAAGAAGAAAATGATATCATTGCAAGTATAAAACAATGGAAAAGAGTTAATCTAAAAGATTATCAACAACGAACTCAACTACTCTTTCCAACTTTACGATACAATATGCTAGTTATAAATTATTTTCTCAATCATTTTGTTTTCCCTCAAGAATCAAAACAATTTCCACATAAATTAGTTGCTTCTGCTTGGGATCTATTTTCATCTTTACGAGAGAAAATCATCACTGGATTTAGTGGTACAAATGATACTCAATTATTATTGCCTGTTCATATTCGTCAATGTGATTTAGCAGAACTTCAAAAAACGGACGCCATTGTTCTTAATAATTTACTTCGGCCAGAAAATTACCATTATCAATATTTACCGATTAGTACGAGCTCTGACGATATCTTGAAACGTATTATTATTAGCCAACCAACGATTCAAGTCATTCTAGACGTTGGTGCATTGTTCGTTGATGGAACCAATCGTCAAATAGCGGTCAAATGGTTAGATCTATCGGATAAAATTAAAATCGATTATGTTGTATATTTTGAATCAGATTCGACATTCGTTTGTGATTATCAATATCAGCATCATGCTTTTTTAACATCACCTGCTAGTGAACGTCTTGATCGTTGTGTATTTTATTTAGATGAAATTCATACGAGAGGAACAGATTTTAAATTTCCGAATGAATTTAGAGCTGCTGTTATCTTAGGAAATGGTCTCACTAAGGATCGCTTAGTTCAAGCATGTATGAGAATGAGAAAATTAGGTAAACATCATTGGTTAAGTTTTTGGAGTTCAAACGAAGTTCATCAACAAATTCGAACAATGAAGAAAAATTCAATTTCACCAAATGAAAAGGAAGAAAACATTGATGATCGAATTACTCTGACTGATATTCTTCGTTGGGTTTATGAAAATACTCAACAGACAACTTGGGGTGGATTACATCTTTGGGCAACACAAAGTTTAAGTTTTCAACGGAAAATTACTGCCTTTCGAAATATCGATTGGAAAGAAAAAGGAACATTCTACACAAATACGACAATGGAAAACATAGCCAGAGAATGTTTGGAAGCTGAAGTCTTAGAATTGAAATCTATGTATGGTGTATCGAAAACATTTCAAACAATATTTGACATTTATTCTGCTCGATACAAACATTTCAGTATTTGTTCCAGAGACCGAAACGGGGCGGGCCCCCGCGGCGGGGAGCGTTTTTCTCGGGGTCGAGGCGATCCGGGGAGACATTTCGGCGGGGCGAAAAGTAAGCGGGGCGAGGCGAGGAAAATTTTGACGGGGGCGAAAACAGACGGGGCGAAGCGAGGAAAATTTCGACGGGGCGATGCGGGACGGGGAAAAACTACGTCGGGGCGAAGCGAGGCGGGGTTTGAAATATATACTCGATGTTTGTACATGATAAACTTGACAGTATAAATTTCTTATTTATAAGCAATGTATATGAATAATTGTTACACATGTTTAACCCATTGGGTCCGGGTGATGATAATTCCCGTCCTGAGACTTTGTGCACTCAACACCTTTAAAAATATGGTTTATTGGATATTTAATGCTATGGATTGTATGAATATTTGTGTTTTGGAATATTCGTGCGGTTAAGATCATTTGTACTTATTGATGTTTATTGGCTGTCCTTTGATATTTCAGACAATTAGTATATCATTTAATGACTTAACACATGAATCAGTTTGCTAACACTTATCGAGAAAGAACTGCCGCTCTGAAAAAGATAGTTCCTATTATTAAAGTCGTTCAAGCATGATATCTTTGAGAAATATTCTGATCGAACGGTCGTATTTGATGAATAAGGTAGAGTGCATTTTTTCATATAAAAGGTCACAAAGATCATTCATTTCGAGCTCATGGGTTCTTTTTTCTTTAACTTTCTGCTATCGTAGAATGACGTCAAGCTTTCTCTGTTTTCTTTTCTTTTATATGTTCTTTGAGGCACGTCCGAGTAGATTCTTGTTCTCTCTACGACTGATATATATATATCTATTTTGTTCTTATTATTTAAATGCAAACGTGATTGGCCTCAACATATTGTATTTTTCTGTGGGTGTGGTGTGGATGTGAATGTGGCTATGGGCGGGTGTGAATGTTGGCATTATCTTAAACTACATCCACACCCACCACTCACATCCTCTGAAAATCCACTCCGACTCACAGCGCGACATTTTTCTTCATGCATTGCATCAAGAGTCACTCAAGCAAATCCAAAAAGAAAGTGATATGTTTGTGCTCATAGTGCGAGAAGAGTCAAGTCTAGAAGAGACACGTCGTAAGAATGTATCGAATGATGTGGGGTTGTGTCTAATAGATTGTTTTAAGGACAATCAGGCTCCACAAGCATTCTGAATCGTGTATTTAATGATATTATTGAAAAAATAAACATTGATTTGAAATTTTAAGAAATCTTAATGCTTAAAAATAATCCCGGACTCAAAGGGGCACTGTTGTGTTTTTGTGTCTACTTGCAACATCTTGTCAAATCAATGATGGGGTCAAAGAAATACAAATATTCTATAAACATAAAAGAAGGTGCTGAAGAAATAATGTAAATCTGGGGCGAGGCAAGGCAAGGCAAGGGATAACTTACA